TCTCAACCACCTCTCCCTCTATGATCTCCGTCTCCTCTTTGATTCGGACACAAATGGCGCGCCGGAAGGCCTGCATCAGTGCCTCGCTTTTGGACATCTCGAGCGAGAAGATCTCGGAACCGCTGATGGCCACAAACGGCGTGTCTCTGGAGATGGCTTTCGAGATACCCATAGCGATGGCTGTTTTGCCGGTTCCCGGCTGTCCTGCGATCAGTACGGCTCGGCCGGCGATCTTTCCCTCTTTGATCATTCGCGTGACAATCGCTGCCGATCTTCGCGCTGTCATTTGGCCCACCATTCCCTCCGAGACCTGTCCGCCGCACAAGAGGTTATGTATGGATAATAGACGTAAATGTGGCAAATCTATGGCAAACCTCCTTCGGCTGCAGCAACTCGTCGACCCCCAGCCCCCGGATGTGTGAGTGGGCGCCGATCCGCTCGATCCGTGTCAGGTCGCGGCTCTCCGGAAGTTTTGTTGTCATCTTGTAGTGGAGGAATCAGATGATGTCAATGGGTATGAGAGACAATATCACTCAATGATAATATTTACCGCATTTGAAGCCATTCTTGTGTTTTACAAAACATGAGGTTTCGGTGCCTTTTGCTCATCAATAACGTCGCCATTGGTTACAATGAATGCGGGATTCAATCAAATACAGTGTAACACTTTTGACATTATATTTTGCCCCCAATGTCACAAAACACATGATTCTATGGTTGTAACGAATACTATAGCCTATAGATTGTTGAATAAGTTGATGAGCAGTCCAACCGCTATTTTATACGTACGTTATATGCGAACATATTTTGATGACTGAAAAATGATTCACAAGTTGAACGTCTGATTGGATTAAACAGAGACTCAATTAGTCGACAATTAAATGTGATTTGCATTGACTGTGAACTGAATGAGCGTTTCATGCATACAATGAGTGATACACTGAAGCCTATTGTCGGCGTTTGTATGGATATGTGTCCACCAAATGAACTCAAATGGTATGCCATTTGATGGCCATTCAAGTGGCCATTCATTTAACCATTCATTCAATCATTTGTATTGATTTGTCTTAAGGCGCGAAGAGAAGGGTTTGTTACACGAGTTTGAGATGACCGCCGACACCGAGTGGATCCATATCTTCCGCGAGACCTCATTCCGCAGTCGTGCCAAACAGACCCAGGAGTATG